AGAGGGATCGCTGCGCAGTGAAAGCAGTGATCCCTCTTGCTGTTCTGGCTTCAATAATAGCTGCGCAGCCTGCATTTGCTCCATAAGACGCACACACATTTCCCCTTACTTTTTAGGAGGGAAAAAGTGAGTCTTATTGAGCAAAAAATACGGTACGTCTTCAGATGCACCAAAGCAGAGACCAAGCGGAGGAGCTTAAGAAATTAGGAATCTGCTGATTTCCCTACCATTGTAATGCACTGCTCCAGATGTTGTACGATTTCTAATCACACTTCCATTTCTTATAGATTGCACTGTATCGTATTGCAGTTGGCACTCCATAGAATCCCAAATTGCAATACGGTATAATTCAATATAAAAAACAAAAGAAACAATGGAAATACTGTGACAGAACTACTGCAAGGCGTTCTACGTAGGGCTGCCTCTGAAGACAGTTTGGAAACTTCAGCTGGTGCAGAATTCAGCAGCCAGGTTGCTCACCGGACTGGCAAGACGGTTTGAGCATATTACACTGATCCTGGTCCGACTGCACTGGCTACCAATTAGTTTCCTGGCCCAATTCAAAGTGCTGGTTTTGACCTGTAAAGCCTTAAATGACTCAGGACCGCAATACCTCAAGGACCGCCTCTTTCCGTAATAACATACCCAGACCCTGAGATCATCTTCTGAGGCCCTTCTTCATGTGCCTCCTCCTTGAGAGGTCCAGAGGGTGGCAACATGAGAACGGGGCCTTCTCTGCAGTGGCTCCCTGCCTGTGGAATGCTCTCTGCAGGGAAGTTCACCTGACACCCTCATTATACACCTTTAGGCCTTAGGCAAAACATTCCTTTCTAACCAGGCCTTTGGTTGATCCGATTTACATCCTTTGCCTTTTTAAAATGTGTGTGTTTTTTAATGGGGGAGTGCTATTGAGTTGTTGTTTTTATTTTTATTAGGTATTTTATGGTTTTATATCTTGATCTTATTCTGTGAACCGTCCTGAGACCCCTGGGGGGAAAGGGTGGTATATAAATTCAATAAGACAAACATACAAACAAATAATGGTGCTAAATGTTTAGGTTTAGTGAATTATTAGGATCCGAAGAACAATTTTGCACCCACTCGGCCTGCCCTAGCCCTTGGACGTAGCCAGAATTTCTTTTTCTTTTTTGGAGCGGGGTTTGCAGATTTTGTTTGGGGGGGCAGATCCACAAATATCACTGAAAAGCACTCCATTATCTGAGGTTCAGGGAAGCGGGTGGCGCTGTGGGTTAAACCACAGAGCCTAGGGCTTGCTGATCAGAAGGTCGGCAGTTCGAATCCCCGCGACGGGGTGAGCTCCCGTTGCTCGGTCCCTGCTCCTGCCAACCTTGCAGTTCAAAAGCACGTCAAAGTGCAAGTAGATAAATAGGTACCACTCCGGCGGGAAGGTAAACAGCGTTTCCGTGCGCTGCTCCGGTTCGCCAGAAGCGTCTTAGTCATGCTGGCCACATGACCTGGAAGCTGTAAGCCGGCTCCCTTGGCCAGTAAAGCGAGATGAGCACCGCAAGCCCAGAGTCGGTCACACTGGACTTAATGGTTAGGGGTCCCTTTACCTTTACCTGAGGTTCTGCCCCAACCCCAAAAGAAGCTCAGCAACTTTGGCTGTCCCCCCCAAGAACCCAAATCCGGGCTAAGCTCATTCCCCCGCCCGGTTCCGACTCACCTTCCTGCGGCAGAGGATCTCGACGGCTTGCGCGGGGCTGGCCCCCACCACGTGCAGCCGGACGTGGAGCACGGCGCACACGAAGCCGTCCCGTGCGCGCACGAAGCGCTGCTCCAGGACGAAGGCGCGCGCGTCCCAGCCCAGCAGCCTGGTGCGCACGTCGAAGCGCTCGAGCAGGTGCAGCGAGCGGCGGTAGCGGCACGTCGAGGCGGCCAGCACCGTGTGCGCGCCTAAGCCCCGGACGGCGCGCAGCAGCCCGCAGCGGGTGAGGTGCGCCAGGCGCGCCAGGTCCGCCTCGCGCGGGTAGCGCGCGTTGTTCATGTGCACCAGGCAGTCCAGGTCCGACGGCAGCACCCGGCTGGCGAAGCTCTGCTCCTCCAGCAAGTCCCACACCGTGGGCAGCGCCCAGCGCGCGTACAGCAGCGTCACGGGCACCCGCAGCAGGTACCAGCCGTCCAGCAGGGCGAATAGGGCGGCCAAGGCCCCCAGAGCCCAAGCCAGCTCCGCCATGGCGCAAAGGGAAGCTGGGCGCGCCGTCGAGGCGGTGCTTGCAGAGGAGCCGGGCAGCGCGCGTGGGAAGCTGCGCTTGCAGCCGTCTTGCAAAGCCGGCGCCGGGGAGCGAAGGTCACCGGCAGCGCTCCTCCTCCTCTTCCTTCTGCCGTCTTCCGCCCTCCTCTTCCATTGCGCGCGGAGCCGCCTCTCCGGCTTCCTGCGCAGGTTCAGCGTCTTCCTCGGCCGGCCTTATGTAACGATGATGTTGCTTGCTCGCTTGCACGAGTCTGCTGGACAGCTCCCCCTTGCGCGCCGCCAGCTCTCTGCAAAATTATTATTTTTATTTTTTCAACAGTTAAATGCCATGCAAAGAGACACCTTCCAGGAATTTTATAATATGTGAAATTTATCATATGCCTTTTCTGGTGGTTGTGCTATTTAGCCATTTTTTTAATTATTACTTACGTTGTTAATAGAAGGTGATTGTTTTACTACCCAGACCCTGAGATCATCTCTTTTGTTTAAAAAACATTATTTTAATTGATTTTCCAATAAAAACAGCCAATCAACATATCCACATCAATATCCAATTAAAAACAAGAAAATAAAATAAAAAAAGACCAAATTGTAATCCAAATTGTAATTATTGATTTTTCGGGGCTCCCCAAAGTCCGGACCTCTGAAGCCTATCTCCAAATTTTCAGTCCTGCCTCTTCTCGTTATTTTCATGTTTTCCACCTTCTGGTCTTAATGCTTTAAAGTTCTCAACCCTGAGATCATCTTCTGAGGCCCTTCTTCATGTGCCTCCCGCTTGAAAGGTCCGGAGGGTGGCAACACAAGAGCAGGGCCTTCTCTGTGGTGGCTCCCAGTCTGTGGAATGCTCTCCCCAGGGAAGTTCGCCTGGCACCTTCATTATACACCTTTAGGCTCCAGGCAAAAGCGTTCCGTTTTAACCAGGCCTTTGGTTGACCCGATTGACATCCTATACGCTTGTAAAACGTGGCTCTTTTTGGGGGGATGTTATTGGGTTATTGTTTTTATTCTTATTTTATATATTGCGATCTTTTCTGTGAACCGCCCTGAGACGTCTGGGTACAGGGCGGTATATAAATTCAACAAACAAATAATAAAAATAAATACTGATGATTCTTGTCATTGTTTTACTGATGATTTGTTAATTGTTTTATATGATTTATGTTGTGATTGTGATGTGCTACGATGTTATCATTCATTGTATGTAAGCTGCTTTGTGACTCGTGTGAGTGAAAATCAGCATAGAAATAGAATCAACCAACCAGTTTATTACGGTCAGAATCCAGCAGTTTAAAAATAGCTAAAAATACAACAATTTACAAGTTACAATAATTATAAGCATAAGCCAGAATAAGATCAGGGAGACAAGAGTCGCTGAACAGCACGTTAAAACAACTAGAATTATAAGTATTACTAAAGCAATCCTGTTGAAGACTGGGGAAGAAGAAACACAAGATTTCATAAACGGAATAGTAATTGTGCCTCTATAAGGTTTGCATAGAAATATAAGCATTCAAATGAAATGAAGAAACGTGGACCCCTTTCTTTAACAATGTTAATGACCAAAATCAAGACCTTGTTATATCAATAGCTCCATCTTCTCAGTGGCGAGGTTACATTAAGTAATATGTTTGAATGTTGAATGTGTTGTGTGTGTGTGTGATGATGGATACAGAACATAATGTGATCGACAGACGGGATTCTTTAAAAAAACACTTTTATTTAAATCCTTAAAACAGCCAATTCTAACAAATAAGGTACACTAAAACATCTGTTTACAAATGCTAACAGCATTGCAACAAGAAAGGGGCAAGTGCTGTAGGAGCAGAAAGATACTTATTTATTTGCAAACCGTTCTCAGTTTTCAAGTACTGCCTGTCTCCTGAATGATCCCTCTTACGCTGTACTTGAGGCGCTGAGACCCCACTTGTGGTTCAAGGGTCCTGCCATCTCAAGCCCACCCTGTAAAACAATGTCTTTTCAGGGACACCTGGAGCGTCCCTGTCACAACCTCCTATTTCAGAAATCCTTCTCTTCCAGAAATCAGATTGCAAAATGTCGTTTCCTTCCACTGATATTTAAATCACACCACTTGGTTAGGGAGGAAGCAAATTTATATCCATATCACCACCCTTGTTTATTTATTGCTAAGGACATCTAGCACTCTAGGCATGCAAAATGGTTTTGCAATCCTGATCTGGCCCATCCTCGCAACAACCCTGTAGGGTAGGTCTTAAAATAATTTTTAATGTTTTTAACTGCTAAGCAGGTTACAGGCTGAAGGTGTGCCGGGTGGTGATTATACAGCCCTGATATTCACTCTCTTGTGCAATTATTTCCCCGAAGTTTTCTTGACCCCTTGATGTCCATTTGAAGGGAGAACGGCAACAAACCTTTGGAAACAGTCTGGAAATTGCTGAAGTTTTCCTGCTCTAGATTACATGGCCAAGTTTTTTTCCCCCTTCCCCTCTTCTGTTCCCTGGACGATGTTCCTCCAAAATCCACCCGCCCTCTTCCTGAAGCCTTACAGTCTGGTCCACAGGAGGCCGAAAGCGAGGGCAGCTATAAAAGCCGTGGCGGAGATTGCGGCTCTGGCCTGTTGCCCGGAGCCAACGTTGCAGAGCTCGGTGTCACAACAGTAGACCGGGCGAGTTTCACCAATCCCATCTGGCTCCGAAGGCACGCAGTTTTTGGCGCAGGATTTGGTGACGGTGATGTTCCCGAAAAAGGGGTATCCTGGAGGGAGAATGAGAGAAGGTGGAGAAGGGAGGCTTTTCAGTGATGCTGTTCTTCAAAGCAAGCTAGCTCAGTCGGTAGAGCATGAGACTCTCATTCTCAGGGACATGGGTTTGAGGGTCACGTTGGGCAAAAATATCCCTGCATTGCGGAGGGTTGGACTGGATGACCCTTCCAACTCTACAATTCTGTGATTTTATGAAATATCCTGGTTCCTGTTGTTATGGATGTTGGGAGGCCGTTCTTTGATTAGCCGACGGCTTGCCAAATGTCCCGGATGACCTATCCGAGGTCAGCTAATAAACAGGAGCTAATAAACAGGAGATGCACTCCTGATGGCTGGAGATCTCTCTGCAGCCTTGGAATGCAACGCGCACCACAGTTTGGGATGGTGACACTCACTTGGGAATGGGGAAGCAGAGAAAAACTGAGATAAGGGTGCGTTGGCGGAAGCATCCCAGGTGCGCGCTGGCTCAGTTGCCAAGGCCATGTGTGTCTAGCTTGAATATTAGGGGGTGCAAATCACAAGTGGGCTTAAAATATAGAAATTGATTAATTAATCACTTAGCGCTTCTTACACCCCTGTTACGAGCTCCTGTAGTGCTCCAGTCTCATAATTTTTTTATATTTATGATTTTCAGTTTTATACATTTCAATAATTTTACCTTCATTTTAACATTTTAGAACTTGACTCCCTTCTTTCTGCGGTTCCTTAAATTTATTTTTAATATTTTCTGCATATCCAAATTAACTTAATTTGACTGTTTATTCATCTGCTTTAAATATATAATAACTGCAGGTTATTACAATAATCCTGCCAATGATCTTATCTGTTTACAGGTGGTTTTTTTTTGGTAAATATTCAATAAAGCATTTTCCATTTCTTTTATAAAAAGCTTGCCGTCTTGATTTCTTATTTAACCAGTGTCGTAATTAACATCATTACATTTATATCACAACTCTCCTTCAAGGTAGGCTAAGCCGAGAGACAATGACTGGCCCAAGGTCACCCAGTGAGTGGGGATTTGAACCCCCGCCTCCCAGGTCCCAGTCCGACACTCTAACCACTACACCCCACTGCCTTCAATGGAGGGAGGCAGCACAGTTCATGAAACTGCCCTCTTCTGTTGAGATGAACAGATCCCGCCCAGAGTGGATCATCTGCATGCAGCCAATGGCTGCAGGATCAAGGAAGAAACCCCAAGTACCAGTGGTTTTGAATGCAAATCATCAAAGTGATTCTTTAACTGTGCTTGGAGCGGGTTGGGCTAGATGAGCTTTGGAGGTCCCTTCCAACTCTACGATTCTATAAAAGGCCAATGCAGGAACAGAGGAAAGGGTCACTTTAGGCCAGCCTTTGCCAACTCGGCGCCCCTTCCGCAGGGTTCTGGGCTACAACTCGCAACAGCCGGCACAACCAATGGCCAAATGGGATTTGAGGTGCCCCTGGTTGGCGGAGGGCTGATCCAGGGTTTGGGTTGCGTCCCCACATCCTTACCTGAATCCACCGAGTGCACCGTTATCTTGCAGTGTGTGCTGTCTGCGGAGCAGTTGACGAAAGTCAGGCAGTTGCTGAGGTCGGTGGGTTCTTGGCAGGTATAACACTGCAAACAGAGCCCTGTAAGAGGAGGAAAGGGAATTGGTGCGCCAGACTTGGAGCTGCATCTTCACCCCCGGCGGAGGGGCTTTGGTTCTGTCTGCCATTAAATGTGCCAAATCGCTGCAAGGATTGTCAGAAACTGCCATACACTGAGTCAAACCACATTGCTCCATCAAGCTTGGTAGTTCCTACACTGGCTGGCAGCTGCTCTCCATGGTTTCAGGAAGGTTCCTGTTCCCTAGACATGCAGGGGAATGAACCCAGGAATTTCTGTATTTAAAGCAGCTGCGCAACCACTGATCTATAGATCTATCTAGGTCAGTGTTTCTCAACCTTGGGTCCCCAGATGTTGTTGGACTACAACTCCCATCATCCCTGAACTCTGGCCTTGCTAGCTAGGGATGATGGGAGTTGTAGTCCCAAAACATCTGGGGACCCAAGGTTGAGAAAGGCTGATCTAAGTAAAGGTAAAGGTAAAGGACCCCTGGATGGTTAAGTCCAGTCAAAGGCGACTATGGGGTTGCGGCGCTCATTTTGCTTTCAGGCCGGGGGAGCCGGCGTTTGTCCACAGACAGCTTTCCAGGTGATGTGGTCAGCAGGACTAAACCGCTTCTGGCGCAAAAGAACACTGTGACGTAAGCCAGAGCACACAGCAATGCCATTTACTTTCCCACCACAGTGGTATCTATTTATCTACTTGCACTGGCGTGCTTTCGAACTGCTAAGTTGGCAAGAGCTGGGGCAGAGCAACGGGAACTCACTCCGTCGCGGGGATTCGAACTGCCGACCTTCCAATCAGGAAGCCCAAGAGGCTCAGTGGTTTAGATCGCAGCGCCACCTGCGTCCTGGACAGATCTATCTAGTGAGCCCAGATTCATGAGTCGTAAGTTGAAGCTTTCCTTTGTCTTTCATCCTGAGACATCAAGCACCAAGAAACCATGGGTTCATGCCATGGAGGCTTACTCAGAGTAGAACCACTGAAACTAATAATTCCAGGTGGAACACGTCCATTAATGCCAATGGGTCTACTCTGAGTAGCACTAACACCGGCTACAACCCCATGTTCTTCCCCTCTGTCAAATCACAGACTGAAAGTTCTTATTATTACTAATAATTAATTCTGTTAATTCCTCTGTCACAGAAGCCATTCAAGAACTTACTTATGAGGACCCCACAGCTTCACAAAAAAGGCTGAGCCCTGTCAATTCTATTCTTGTTGTTGTTATTATTATTATTTGTATATTTGTAGATCTCAGGGTGGCTCACAACAGAAATACAAGATAAAAAACACGAAATACATAATGAAAACAAGGACGGGGAAAAACCAATAACCAACCCACCCCTCCCACTTTAGATGTGATTTCAGCATCGAAGGTGCTTAGGCTGCATTTTAAATTGCATTTTAACCTGTATTTTAAATTGGTCCCCCCCCCATTATGTTTTTATTGTAATTTTACTGGTGTTAGCCGCCCTGAGCCTGGCTCTGGCTGCGGAGGGCAGGGTATAAATAAAATTTATTATTATTATTAGGCTAGAACAGGGGTAGGCAACCTAAGGCTCGTGGGCTGGATGTGGCCCAATTGTTTTCTCAATCCAGCCCACGGACGGTCTGGAAATCAGCGTGTTTTCAAATGAGTAGAACGTGTCCTTTTATTTAAAATGCATCTCTGGGTTATTTGTGGGGCATAGGAATTCGTTCATATTTTTTCCCCAAAATATAGTCCGGCCCACCACATGGTCTGAGGGACGGTGGACCGGCCCCCTGCTGAAAAAGGTTGCTAACCCCTGAGCTAGAAGACCCGTTGGTTCCCTTCCAATTCTACAATTCCACGATTTCTAAGAAATCGTAACGGTAAAGGTAAAGACCATTAGGTCCAGTCGTGGCCGACTCTGGGGTTGTGGCGCTCATCTCACTTTACTGGCAGAGGGAGCCGGCGTACAGCTTCAGGGTCATGTGGCCAGCATGACTAAGCCGCTTCTGGTGAAACCAGAGCAGCGCATGGAAAAGCCATTTAAGAAATCGCAGAGCACCCCTGAGATTGTACAGAGTGCAGCTCCAGATTCTCAGTCCTTGGGTGGCCATAGCCGGCCACGACACCTCCTTGAGGGCAGGGTTCAGCTTCTCTTTCCTTCACACCACCATCCCAGTTTCACAGCCAAGCCACCGGAAGCACCCCTAGATAGAAATGAATCTTACCAAGTTTTAAGGATGCCAGGAAGGCCAGCGCAACAGCCAGGAATGCTTTCATCCTTGCAGGCAAACTCTGGAGGGCTTCTGAACACTCCCAGGCGGCTCCTCTGTGCCCGTTCCCAGTCCCTGCCGGGCTCTGCTGGGACCTTATTATATACCTGGCCACAGCCCTTTTCCCGTCCTGTGCTCAGCTGTGCTGTCAAGGAGAAAGGGCTCTCTCAGTCGCTGAGAAGAAGATATGCCTTTGTTTGCGGCCACACCTCCTCCACCCTCCACCCTATTCTTCTAGGGACATGCCCAGGAGCGAACAAGAGGGAACAGAGAGGTGTCAGTCAGAAAAAGAAAAGAAAAGAAAAAAGCACGCAGGCTTGATCTGGGACAGAAGTAGACCTGAAGGTTTACCTGGAGCTCATTGTTGGAAATCTGGGCAGACAGTCCTCTCTGAGTCCCATAGCTGTCAACTTTTCCCTCTTCTTGCGATGAATCCTATTCGTAATAAGGGAATTTCCCTTAAAAAATGGGAAACATTGACAGCTATATCTCTGACGCACCTTCTTGTCTGCTGGGGTCTTGGGCCTCTGACGGTGCAAAAGCCATTTGTGGTGAGGGTTATCGATACCGGTGAATTTTTCAACTTTCCACTTCCCCAAAGGAGGGGTGCGAAAAACTGGTGGTATGACTTTGGCCTATTTTGGTCAAATCAATGCAATTTCGTTTTGCTTGGTATGTAAAATTGCACCGATACCATTAAAAATGATTGCCCCAGTACTTGCAGTTATGTATTGTTACTGATTGATTGATTGATTGATTCATCGATATTTAGGATTTTGCCTGACATTTTAGGAGGGAAAAGTAAAAGTCTTTCGTTTTGTGAAAGCTGTTTCTGTGTGTCTTCGTCAAACGTAGACTCACCAAGCTAGATATTGTGCAATCATCAAAAAACAAAAGCAGATTTGAATTCCTCAAACCCCCAAAGCATATTTTGCAAGAAGAAATTTGCAAACGCTAAGTTTTGGCCCCTGAAATGAGACACTCTATTAATGCAGCCTCGTTAATGCTGTGTAGAGGCGATATTCTGAAAATATTGGCCCGTTAAGATTATTATTCCATCACTGTGTTCAAGGTGGTGAATGCGGATGGGTCAATTTTCGTACAAAATCAGAGCCCACGGAGACTTCATACAGTAGACGAGTCTCGAGGGATGGAAATGTGGAGATGAGGGTTTGGCGAGGAGAGGTGGGCTTTTGGTGGCAGAAGTATCTCGAGGGGATGAATGCAACACCCATGCAGGACAATTCAGTATAAAATCAGAGCCTGTGTACATAAGAACACAAGAAGAGCTGG